AATGGAAAACTATCATAAAATTGATTTCCTTTTTAGAGAGATACAATGGTCAATCATGGCTGCCAAGATAACACAATTCAATATGTACAGTAGACCCAATGACCAGGCATAAACAAGGGCTTCATACTTGCTACAGCTGTATACCTGTAAGCCAATAAATTTTTTCAGCCTTCTCCGAAAACCTCTCAAAAACAAGATCAAATGACGTTCAAGAGAAACATAAGTTACAAAGAATTCTTTCAGTGATGCTGATGCTCACACAAATGCTTTTTTCTTTTTAATTATATTTTGTTGAGATAGCACTAAATAAATACTAAACAATGGAAAACTAAGATGGCCTCGGCTGAAGTACCAATACATATCTAAAGACTGTAATAACATGGAGGAATTCCTCTATGGAAATAACATGCAATTATTTTGTCGTACGAATAACGCTCTCTCTAATTCGGGTGCTGGGCAACGATGCTTTTGAATGATTGCCTTTAAAGTGTTTACAAAGAATGTTTAATTGATCTTTGCACATCTCTCTAACTATTACTTCTTGAAGTGATCCAGTCACATAATGCTCAAGACACAAGCCTTGAAGAACCTGTAATGATAGTGCAAAGAATTGTGTACAGATTTTTGACTAAAACACAATTTCTAGCAAGTACCCTATGTTTACATAATAGAAAGTGATTCAATTTAATCTTAGTTTTTTTTTATCTTTTTTATAATAACACATTACCTTTATCAACATACTCAGTTATGACCATCAAAAAATTAAAATTTAATCAGAAAAATTGATAATGTATCTGTATAAATCAATTAAAACTTTACTACATTTTTTAATTAACTGTACCCTATGTAGAGTAATTAATAAAATTAATAAATTACTATACATTACAAATTGATCTCGGCCAAAAATGCTGCTGTTTAAAACGAAATTAATAATTAAGATTTTTCATCTATTGCAAAGCTGAGTAAACTATATGACTATATCATGTTACATAATGAGAATGCATATTTACTATGAGATAACCACTCAAGTTCCTAGCATACAGTACAGTACAGTAGTCACAGAATTGTGGCACAATTAAATTCTTGAATGTTTCCCTCATTACAACAGCTAATACAACAATCAGCTTCAAAACGCGTACATTTTCTCAAACACGGAACTGTCTAATACTGTTGTAGAAAAGCAATAAGCATATACAACTATAGATTGACTTGTAGCACGAAATTATCATCAATCTGCTTCAATAATCTTCAAAATGGAAGCAAACATACAGACAACATATAATCTTTATCGCAATGTCAAGGCTTGACAAACGACATCGATTTTGAGATCAAACGAGAATGCTATCTCCCTCAAGGTGTCATAAAAGCAAGACATGTTGAATGTGAGAGCATGCAATAGCTATAGTTCCAGAGGAAATGCTTTACGATTTATATATATTATTAGCTAATATAATTTCTTTTTTCCTTTTACACACACAATAAAATTTTATCTATTTAGTCATTTACAGTATTGACACTGTCAAACCAGAATAAAAACATAAAGGCATTTCATAGAAATATTATTATCAATAACAGTCATGTAAGCTATAATATAAAATTCAATAAATACAATTTAAAAACAAAATATTATTTGTTCATTCAATAATAATTATATAATTTCAAATATTAGTTTTGCATGGTGAGTAAACGTATGATAAAACTTGCAGTACACCATGTACAAGCAGGCGTGGGCATAAAAATCGGTCGGAGGACCAAAGTGAATTTTTGATTTAACACCAAGGGAGGCATCCAAACTTAGATGTTGCCAGTGTGCTTCCCAAAACCTCCAAGCACCACTTTTCCACCACTTTATTCTCAGTTTTTAATATACTTTTGACATATGGTCGGTGTCGGGCCATAAAAACAAGGTGTTTTCAAGCCAATGTTGCTTGGCGGGCCGCACACATACTGTAAGGTTTTTAAATTTAATTTCACGGGCTGCAAAAAAATCGCTGTCGGGCTACATGCGGCCCGCGGGGTGCACTTTGCCCACCTGTGATGTACAGTACAGTATCATGTTGTCTTGACATTTAAATGAGATTACAGTACCGTACTCTCAATAAGAAAAAAATAACATAATAAATAATAATAACCTTAAAGGAAGCCCAAAAACAAGCTTAAGTATGCAGTTCAACATAGCAAAAAGTAAATTTTCTGATAACTTGAAATTCTTTTCACCAGCCTCTCCAATGAATACTATTTATTCTACCAAATTTAATAATTCAACATCACTCGTTCCTTTTGAAATTATATCATAAAAATTTCCTCCTCAAAGATTAAATTTTAGTAAGTATTAGTTTATTAGAAACAAAAGCAGCAAATATGCCTACAGTATCTTCAACTACCCGACATCAATCACTACAGAAATGGCATTCAAGTTGACGTCAAAAAATCTTTCCTAAGACTTGGTTGTTTACAGGGTTGATTCAGAAAAAAAAATGTTTTTAGACTCTAAAAATAGCTGAACAAAATGATAGCAAGAATGTTTTATCAGCGAATCAAGCTTGATTAAGTTATGGGAATTTGTCAAAACATTTTTTTCCCAATTTTACGATTGAAACAGATATCAAGAAAACACGATGTTTGCTAACAGCAAGATTTGATTCTTGTCATTTCAAATTGCAAAGATCAAAATCATTTTGATTAGTCATATCACTAAACATAATAGGCATAATTCCGTCCGAGAGAACTCATAAAAATCTAACTGAGCACCAATGCTTTGTCACGACTGGCATAAATATGTAAATTTTTTGAGTGACATCTATGGCAAGTCAAAACCCAAGCTTGAACGCTACTGTACGTCCTTGGTACAGTTACAGTGTATAACACCTTTTAACTATTGCGATTTCTGGGCTTTATAGAGTGTTACTTTTACTTTGTGACTCACAGAATGCGATATTTGTTTGTCATTCCAATAGGGTTAAAATAATATAAAGGACAGTCAGACCATGAAGGTACAGTAAACAATACTCATTATATTATTCTGAAAGATACTTTAATGGATAAAAACGTGATCCCTACCATATTTTCCTATTCCTTTCATCGATGGATTTGATACCCAGGACTTACATTAACAGTGATATCTGTACTGTACTAGTCATAGTAAAATTTCTTTAGGAAATCCAGATAAACTTTGATTCGCTTTTACATTATTAAACAAATTGAAAGAAATTAATATTATTCTTATTATGCATTTAATTTGATAACCTACTGTAGTGAAAACAAATATTGTTTTTTTTCCCTTATCATATTAATTTATTACTAGGTTTTTATTACAAACAGGTTATTTTTCATAGGTTTTTTGTTACTTAGTTATTATCATTTTCAATATTATCATTAATAATTTTTTGAATGAGTCATAATGTTATCATCAAGCATCATCATCCAATATTTTCTCCTCATAATCAACTATCAATCATTATCATTATCATCTTAATTATCACCTTTATCTTTACAACCACCACCTCACAAAATACAAGATAAAATGTATTGTCTCTAACGAAGAAATTACAAAAGTTCGCAAACAAAACTACATTAAAATTGATTAAGAAAAACAAATTATTTACATCAAATTTCCGTAACACCCATTGACAAAAAGCACATTAAAATATTTTAAATTATATTAAAGGCTTACAATATTTAAAGAAAATTATAAATGTTTAAAAAAGGTTTAAACGTTCAAGAAAGAAGGACCACCAAACCAGTCTCGGGGGCCCCCGCGCCCTCCTCTAGATACACCACTACCTATTTTTGCAATTATTATCTCAATCAATATCACCTACAGTATATCATTTTCATTATGAGATCATCACCATCATCTTTAAAACATTATCATCATCCCTATCACACTCCTAAATCATTAAATCAGGACACAAGCCAATAGAATCCTGATGCATAAGATAAAATATATTCTTCATTTGAAAATATAGACATATAAAAAGCAAAACTCCGCAACAGAATAATTTCATCTGAGAAGCTTTTCTAATCACCTTCATATGAAAATGTCAATGAGAATAAATTACAAAATGCTAAATGGCAACATTTCCGCGCACCAACATGTTACTACTTATTTAGAGCAAAGTCAGTCTCTCGTAAAAAATGGCGCGACCAGTCGTAATATCCCTCAAACTGGCAATTCAATTTACAGGCTCAATTACTTCAATTTTGCGAACAAATGTGTGCAAATAAATCAGAAACTGTGCGTCAATATTAGCAGTGCAGGCTAACTAATGTACATTTACGTCGGAATGTTTTGTCCATGTGGTTCATACTGCATATATGCTAGACACATCTAAGGTGATAATATATTTGTTTAAAGAAAAACAATCAATTGCTAATTATAAACTACATTTATTTATATTTATTAATTACACAACTATGGCTATGTTTGGTTTCAATGTTTGAAAATATCTGAGTCATTAATTGTAGCTATCAATTATAGATAGTAGCTGATATTGATTGATTGATTGATTGATTGATTGATTGTCCAACACTTGTACAGATAATGCTTAACATTTTTGCCAAAATACACTACTAGCCAAAAAAAGGCAAACTTTCATCACTTCATGCCCAATTCAAAGACAAGCTTGTTTTTCACAGTACTGTAAATTTAAAACAGTAATTTACATTGTTATTATTCTGTAGAACTGACAGCCAAAACTTAGCTTGTAAATTTCGTTTTTATGGTTTACCATTGAATACATACATCGAGTATCTATGTTTAAAGTATGAAATTTTGGAATTAACAGTGACTGAATACGTACACATGCTTTTTGTTCATTAAAGTAATTAATAATGAACAATGACAATTTATAAACAAGTTAATCAATCATACTGTCCAACTGAAGTGATTTTGATTGAAAAGGCTAATAATCAATTTACTGAGTATGCAATTTGTATGGTGGTAATGTCACACATATTTAATTAATGAGGTGATAATATGAAAATGAAGATTATCTTACCTTTATCCTTTTGACATATTCTAACAATTCGCGTTTCATATTGGGCACTGCCAGCAATGATACGCTGGACCGTGAGGAAGTAGCTAAATCCATCATGACTAAAACCATGTACGTAGTTAATTTTGTAAGTATCTCGATAGTTGGATAAAAAGTCAATGTATGTATGGATGCTAACATTAGCATCATAATACGCGTACTGGAAGTTATAGCGGCCATTTGTCAGATGCAATCGTTTAGTTGAGACTGCTTTTTGAGTGATGTAATCAACCGGTCTATGAGTTTGACGTGTTGCTCCAATGTACAGCCCTAGACCGAACTCCTGCGCCAAGGGATTGGGGGGAGCGGGGGCAAAGAAAGCTACCACGGAGCCTTCTGTCGCAACAAAATCATATTCTATGTTATATTCTGAATAGATGTGATCTTCGATTGGGTTTATCATATCCAGCGAATGAATTGTACATGTTCCCTGTATAGCACTTCCACACGCAAGAAGAAATTCTTTCTCGTAGTCTATTAATAGAATTTTATTTACGTTATCTCTTGATGCATGGAAATACTCACAATCCGATTCGGGTAAACACTGAACATTTTCTAGCTGTGGTCCTGTTTTGTATTCAAATTCAAATTGCATATTACTATTTAATTGAAAAATACCATTCACAGCGCCAACGTAAATTCGTCCAGTCACGTTATGAATAACAATATGATTTAGGTCTCCTTCTCGTGTTGTAAATGCGGTAATGTTACGACTATAAACTGACGGAACACCAACACAGACAAGCAACGCTAACAGTTTCATCATTAATTTCTCCATTATCTTTTGCTTTAAGTCTTTATCTTATAAATCATATATCTTCCTGAGGAGAAATAGAAAGTGATTTAGTAAAAAGATAAAAATCATATACAATGAGATAACATAATTTTAGAGTGTACGGTTACTTAAAAATAATAACCAATTATTTTTAAGTTACCGTACACTCTTATATTATGTTATCTGATTGTGTAGTGTGTACAGTAACTTAAAAATAATGACCAATTAGTTTTGGAAGTATTTGTGAAGGTTTGTATGTCAATAAAAACCAAATGTACTAGTTTTCATTATTAAAAATAGTTTCAATTGTTAGCAGAATATTGATAGTTAAAATTGCCATTGTAGAGGTTAAGGATCAATCATAAACTGCACCAGTGTTCCCCCCAAGAGGCCCCTGAAGCATTTTGGTACCATGACGCTTGGGACTTTCCCCATGATGCTTGATAGTTGTCTATGATGCTTGAAACATTTTCCATGATGCTTGGAACACTTTCCATGATGCTTGGAACATTTTCCATGATGCTTTTATCAGGGAACAGTTAAATTATTTAACTGTTCCCTGCTTCTATATAATCTAAAAGTGCAATTTAGGACATTTGAATGCCTCCTAATTATTAAAAATACCTTGTGTCAGACCCAATTATGGTTACCATGACGCTTGCCCATGATTCTAGGAAGAACACTGTGCACTATAAAAATATTAACTTTAAAATAAAATTATATAAAACATTTAGTTTGACAAATACCACAAAAAATGCTATTAATTCAAGATTCCAAAATTGAATTTATTGTCATGTATAAAAAACAAATTTGTTTTCCTGTGCTTACACAATATTGCATAACATATTTTCATATGGAATTTGTGCAATATATATTAATAAATTATTATTATTAGATTATCACAATAAATATAAAAGCTACATAAAATAAAATAGTAATAAAAACTTATCAAAACAATGGAAAAATGTTGGGACAATGAAACTGGGAGATGTTTAGCACTTGCCACAACACCAGCTACTTACTCTTTTTAATTGTATAACTGTATTAAACTAATATAATATATTTTCTTGTTTTACAGAAAATTTGTATTGAAATAATAATAATAATAATTAACATGAATATATATAAAGAAAACATGAATATATATAAAGAAAGTAACATCCTATACACATGCAAAAAGGAAAGCTGAAAATTGTAAGAGATGAAGAAACATGGTGGCCAACCTTCAACCCGAGACGGAACAAGATGATGAAAATATGTTTTTTTAGATAATACATAATACTGTAATGCAAAGTCTGTCATTGGACAATTTTATGACATGACTATAATTAATATTCTTTGGGAAATCATTTTATGTTAATTATAATTAATTAATTAATAAAATTAATTATGGTAGGAATAAAAAAATATTTACTTTATATTGCAATAGACGGATTCGGCGATGTTTGTTTACAGCCGGTTACGTGACATAAAATTTTACAGTGCGATAGTATAGGAAAAGATAATGTATGGCTGCGAAAACAACCACCCACCTGTCAACATGAGAAATAAATGGCTAGAAAAGGCAATATGATTGTTTAAAATAGTGTTGATTTACTTATCCTAGCATTTCTCCTAGGATTGTATGCTTTGAAATTTAAGTGATCCTACATAAAATCTTAGCCAGCCCTAACACCGTAGCATAGTTCGCGGGTCGAAGACCATCATGCCTACCTAACTATGCCGTAGATGTGAAACGACCTACAGTGTAGGCCTAACATTTTTCAAAAAATAATGTTTGCACCGAGTATCCGTTACAGCATTAGCAAACCATTAAGTTAAAAATCTCAAGTTTAATTTCTAATCACTTTGGTATTACAGTAGTTTACTGGGAATATGATGAGCTTTTATAGCAATAAAAATCGACGGCCGCAATAGCAATCTCCATGTAAAACACTGCTTTGCCAGTCAATTTTTTCAACAACACCCAAGTTAGGACATGTGACGCCCATTCCTGAATCCATCTATTAGTCTTTTGACTTTTTTCAGGAATGGATTGGATTAGTTTTAACATCAATCAAAAGTAGAAATTCATAAGACTGGTGAAAAATAGCCACTGCCTTGTTAATTTAATATGAAAAGATGCATTTCAGAGAATATTTGGAAAATGCTTTTTATTATTTAGCCTACTCATATCGTATCTACGGCAATCTAAATGGATGTTTAGTACAGTAAAATGCCACGTACTGTCATAAAAGATTAAGAACAAATTCAAAATTAAGTTTCCAGATAATTATAATACTACCGTTAAGATTCTCCCGTGAAAATGACAAGGAAACATCAAAACAGGTTCTTTTATAAAATTACAGCTTAATTGTTTTATCAAAATCTTATATTTTAAACTATTACATCTACACTACATTGAACACAATTAAAGAAAACGTAGGCCTACTTTAATAAGTACTTGACTTGACGTTTCAATCCCTCCTCCAAGTCACAAACCCCAGTACAAACTCAACGGTCGACGACGGCACTGATGAACCACCATTCCAGAGGTCTTAAAAATAATAGTACTCTTACTATTCCTAGGCATGCCTACAAATCTTTGGTAAATTGTATTGGATATTGATTATACTTACATTCTTTCTCTAATGGTAATTACAAAATAGTCGCTAGCACTTGAGAGCAGCCAATTACTACATTCACACGAAATCAACACGTACGTAAACTGACAGTTGTAGAAATACCAAAGATTGAGGACGCTCGCTGAGAAACTCACCAAGGAATTTTTGGATGACAACTACGTCACGCGGAACACGCCCCCACCTCCTATTATGCAATACAACCGCCACGCCAACGCCACTCACGCGTAAAGAAAGAAAGCATGTTAGAGAGGCAGACAATATATATTATTCTGTGATCGTGGTTTTCAGAAACATATAAGCAGATGTCATCCCCCATCGAATGAGGGGAAAGTGGCAGAGAATGAGATTCAGAAGCCCATCACCCTTAATTTTAGCGCTCTCTGCCTTTCTTCCCAATGGAAATATGCTAATGTCGCCGACGCCAACATCTACATCGTCACGTTACAAGATATTGTTTCATTCATTGTATTTGTTTTGCTTGGAACTTTCTGTGTTTGGTTTCCCCGTGCAGCAAAATATTATATTATTTATAGAACAACTGTCAGTATACTAGAAGCTAAAACTAAGAATCTTAATTATGGAAAAAATTATTCTTTATGTATTTTGAAAGAGTTCATATCGTAAAGAATAGTGAAACACCCACAGAGTTTTGAAAAGCACTTAAAATTATTTTTAAAATATTGGTGTTTTTTTTTTTAATTCTTAAACAATAGGCCAACAGATAAAAACGCAATAACTGGGGTAATAACTGATCGAAAATGGTTGACAGTACATTCTCCTAAAAAATTTACAGTATATAGAAGTTTGTTTATAGAGGGCGCACTAACACAAATAGTGACGTTCTGATTGTGACTGCAGTACAGTAATTCAAATTCACGTATTCATTATAGTGCCCTCTATTGAATGTGTTTTGACATGACATACAGTCAACTTAAACCTGAATTTCAGTCATTTACTGATAGTTTTACAACAATGTAGTGTTTCATTCACCACTTTTATCCTTTTGGTAATCTTTTTTTGTTGATAGGGCATTTTTTTCTGTAATTCCAGAGGATCGCATCTATTTTTTGTAAGAATTGCCTAACCACAACGAATACCGGTAACTCGTTTCGGGTCTAATGTCTCTCATATTTAACACATATATCTTATCTTTCTACCATGTGATAACATAATATTTTCTAAGCCTGGTTATATTGTCAACGCTGTACCCTGCTTTGAAATACGCATTTTAAACGAATCTTTAAGTTTCTTAACTCAGGCCCGTAGCCAGGTCATTTCAATGGGGGTTCTCTGGGCGTGGGGTCCAGAGGTCTGCCTAGGGGCCCCGGTAGTTATGTTTTGAAAAAGATCTATGTAATAAAAAGGTGGTAATATAATAAAATTATAAAATATTTCGTGAGTGGATTTCCCATACGATTAAAAATCGTAACGGTACTGCATCGTGAGTGGATTTCACGTACGACTAAACATCGTAACGGTACTTGGTTTGGTCTACAGGAGTTCCTGCTTCGAACAGGTCATTCCATTCATAGAAGAAGCCTTTTCATAAAGAAAGTTTACCTTTTTAGCAAAGGTTTGTCTATAATTTGATTATATAAAAATTGATTAGAATATTGAAAATGTTATTCGTGTTAATGAATAGCTAAAGATTACTAGGCCTAATATGTCCATTTTTATTGATCTAATCTACGTGTATTTACTTTCATAGTTTATATTTAAATATTTAAAATTGTTTATAAATTTATTTAAAATACTATATGAAATAATGTAATCATTAAAATTTATTATAATAATTGATATTTAAATAAAGCAAAATATTGAAACATGTTAAATACAGACACAAAGTATACATAAGTCTATTTCTAGATTACAGAAAATATGTAAATCTGTATTAAAATGATATAAATTTATATATATACATAGAAATATTATGCGTAAATATGTATTTAGTATAACAAATTAAATTTAAACGGAAATATGGAAGAAGCAGAGGAAGAAAGAAGAATAGAAAAAAATTGAAAATGAACAATAATAATCATTTTTTCATTATTGTATCACGTTTTTGTGAAAATAACCCATCTTAAAGGACTACCTGTCGTTTTCTTCTTTGCCACAGTGAACGAAAAGACCAGTTATTCTACGACGTTTCGTAATAATCTTTATCACTAAAAATTAACACTCGTTTTGACGCACTCCGTTCTGTTGTGTGTGACGTGTGTCTGCTGTTGAAAACAACCTTCCTAATTTTGTGACTGGCTATGATGACTGAGATGGACCATGTTGACTTATTAATAATATTTTGTTTGGGATGGAAAAAAGGAGTCAATTTCCCAAAAATGCT